ATAATAATTAAGTATTCTGTTAGAATTTAATGTTATACTAATTATATTTTAATTTTTTTATATTTAAAATGAGATGTTTATCCTGTATTTGATTGTATTTATCTGCAATTAGTTAAACGAATTCAGATATGGAATGAAATCAGATAGGGATGAAATTCTTTAGGGATGAACGGGTTTAAGAGTTGTTAAGAGTTTTAGCCAAATGTTTTATAAGATAGTATAGATAATGATTAAAGTATTATCTTGTAATAGTAGAACTCAGTAAATGTTATAAATATTCTCTCTCATCTCTTGTCTTTTCTCTCTTTGACGAATCTTATTCGGCGAACTTTATGCCCAATGAACTTTATGTGAACATAAGATACATATTGTGATACCTACAAATGATATTCATTGTGATACCCATATATACATACAAGATGCACAGTGTGATACCCTTTGTAAAGCAATGAAAATAACGAAAATACATATTATGATACATTTCATAAAACAAAGAAAATACATTGTGATGCACGTGAAACATTGTGAACGTTATTACTATGATACACTTTGATTCACCAATGGTTTTAAAATACGATTAATATTAGGTAATTGATCTTCTAGGTAACTAATTTTAATTAAATATTTTTAAAAAAAATTAATTAAATATTTTGATTAGTTGTCAAAAATAGAATTACTATATTACTCTTTTAGCTTATTTAAAAATTATTCTAAATATCTCAAACGAATGGTTCACATTGGATCTCACGACTAACACAAACTAATCAGTTATCCTTTAAATGAGCATTATGCAATATTACATGTAAAACTAAAATTTGAGGATAATGCATTACTAAAAAAATACTCGATGCATAAAAGTCACTTCTAAAACTTTAATGGACCTCAAACAGAAAGAATCGGATAATTTATCCCAACCGTTTGATTGAAATGATCTAACGGATATAGTTTAAAAAAATAGTTATAACCATCTTCTTTAAAAAAAAAAAAATAAGAATATTTCCTGCTAACTTTTTAATTGAAAATTTGCGAATGATAACAAAAGTTAGAGCACAACATATTACACCAATAAATTTATTATATTTAATTAAACATGGGTAAAAAGGAGCTTCATTGCGAGACCCACCCGTCAAGCAGGGACGAAAGCAAATCTTGGTTTTCGTTTTCCTTGTGATGGGCCTGGAAAGAGGGAGGGGGGAATGTCAAGTATCGGCTTCTTAAGACTATTCTAGATGTACAATGCAATTGTGGTAGTCTTTTTTATTTCAGTTGGAAAATGCAGTAAGATCTTTAGGCAGTATAAGCGATTAAGGAATAATAACTCATATCACGGTAGGAAACTTTGCGCATAGTTCTATTACTATTAATGGATGGCTCCGCAATTTCTTATGGGCACAAACATCCAGGTAATTCAGTCTTATGGTTCTCACTATTTGTATATAGCCTTCTTTTCCTAGTATGTATTTTCCATCCATTTTCATGTAGAAAGAGAAAGTGGAAGTCATACAACTTGATTATCAACATGTTTTTGTAGATTATTTTACATTTGTTATTTAGTTTAGTAGTTATCTACTAGCTTATCAACAAACAACTAGCTTATTAAATACTTTAGTAACTTAATTAATGTTAAAATCTCTTAAATAAAAAAATTATTAGAATTAAATCTAAATTTTATAAAGATTTTCCGAATTTCAAATTAAAGATGCATTAGGAGCGAAGTCAAATCGAATAACAAGTTGTCCAAGTTCGAATAAAAAACATAAATAATTTTAAACTCAATCTTGAATAATCGTTTAAAACGATGCTCGAACTATATGCTCATTTAAAGATGTTAAGCTATATGTTACAACATAAAATTCAATTCTCACAAGCTCGATCATGTAGTCGTCTAACTCATGTTAACTCGATCCATAAATTTTACATTTGAACATACGGTTTTTCAAACAACTGAATACATTTGGCTCCTCTTTTATGTTCACATGGCTCGACTCAATTTCATAGTCGAGTTCAGTGTCGATGTTATGAAACCCAACTCATTAAGTTAAAAGAATTCCACTCGAACACGAGAATTATTAAAGTTGAGCACATGAGTTTAAATGCTCGAATCACCAACGGTTTCAAGATGCACAATCAATAAGTCATTTCATTTTAACATAACACTAAACACTCACCTTCACCTTAATAAATAAAAGATCAAAAGTCTAACCAGATAAGTGAGGAGGATGATGACTTTAAACCAATAAACACTAACCTGGTTTAAGACGCTTACTGACAATCCATTTCAATGACAAGGACGTTACATGATAAGATCGGCAGTAAAGGCTTACCGGGAAAGCTTTCGGTAAACGGCCCTACCACGTGAAGAAAGTAAAACTACCAGTTCCTCAGTTATTTACCACCACCATAAGTACAAAAACCGAGTAAATATAATATGGTCTTTTGATTCTTTCTTAAAGGTGATGTTGGAACCATGCGAATGTGCAGAGTTTTGCATCAACAAGAGAGTTACATATTACAACACATGTATATATATTTACAATGCATATTCTTAACTAAACAAACACCATTGTAATAATAATAACAATGCTAATTACTTGAGAAACCCACTTCAATTATGTACAGATTCATCCCCCTGAAACACAATATATAATCATCATTTGATACAAATTGCCGCTATTTTAGCCCAAAAAACAAGACTTCAAAGATATTTGTAAGCAAAAGAGTCGGATATTGGATGTAAGCAACGATTTACCTGTTAGGCCCAGTTCCGTTTGGATCGAAGTTGAGTCAGTTTATCCCTCCATTGTGCTGTAAGGAGCCACAGAAATATAAGATAACTCGCCAGAGGTACCGTCCTCTTTTCAAAGTACTAATCCATTACTCAAGTTGAGCTGTTTTAATTACTCGGTTCACGGTTATATCTTACCACCCTGAGGTATGGTCTAGGCTTTTTTACAAGAAACAAAGAGAAAGACCGGATGCATATAATTTGATAAATCAGAACTTACATGAGGGACAAGCATCAACAATAGTGCTGTTCAAGAAGAGATGCATATTCTCCTTCTAGGAAGATAAAGAGTCCACCATTCTAAATTTGTGATCCAACATGTGACATATGTGGAATCCCATCAAATTATTCTCTAAAAGGGCTCTTGAGGTGAGGGGGAAGACTCCAACGTATATTAAGAGAAACGGTCCGAGTATAGCCAATGTGGGACTCCAACACGCCCCCTCCAACAGAGGCTAACTGGGCACAAATTGTCCTAGAGTGTCGAGAGGGGGCTAAGACGAGCACAGATTGTCCAATAGTGTCGAGTTCCTAGAGTGGTAGACTATGGTTTTAATACCATGTGAGAATATGTGGAACCCCATTTAATTACTATCCAAAAAAGCCCTTGATGACAGGAGGGGTTCCAACATATATCGAACATAAATGGTCCAAGTCGAGCCGATATGAAGCTCTTAACACAACACAAGACATGTAAGAATAGATATCAAACACACCAGCATCTCTGTAGCGTTCCTCCACAGCAGCAATAAGCATGTTCCGGATAAGATTAAACTCCTTCGTTTCCACACATGGCTGCCCACTTGGTCTGCAACCATTACATTCTTGGTTAAAAAATTTCAATCAAGAAAGCAAACCTTCAACTAGGGAATTTTGAGGGCCAGTTCAAGCCTCCTCAAGTCCACTGGAGATTTTCGTAACTGTAATATTCAGGATTTGATGAGATTAGTCGAGGTACCGGCACGCGGCCCGAACACCCACGTTTATCAAAAAAGCCTTAACCATAGTGATGCTAGACATGCCAAATCATACAATACAGAGATACCGAGTTGTGGTCTGTGATTACATTAATGAACTGAATTTCCATTAGTTTTCACAAACAGACTGATAAAATAACCTCAATAGTTGTCAAAGTGAGACTTGATTACATTAAAGTTGGACGGACATGAAAAAAATACCTGTCCAGTTCTTTAAATATCAAACCATCTGAGGAGGATCCCAACAATGAAGGTTTTGCAGATTCAACAACCTTCATTCCATCGCTATAAGCCAAGAACTTGTTCACCTGTATTGGCACCTGAACACATATGATAATAACAATAAATCTTCTTCGCAATTATACACAAACCAAACAAACCCACTGAATCCCACGTGGACTAGGGTCTTGGGGACTCGAGGGGTAGATAGGTTGTTTCTGTAAAAACCCCCAACTTGAAAAAAGTTTTAGACAACATGATTTTGCGAGAAATAATTGGTTCCAAATGTAAAGGTATATGCTGGAAAACTAAAAACTTCGAGAGATGAGTATTAATGTTTCTACTATTAAGATGCCATACCTTGCACCTCACAGCAATATTGATGGCATCTGATGGACGAAGGTCAAAGCTAACACAATCGGTTTCATCATCCAGCTGAAATCATAATCACCACCATTTCAGTTAGAACATAGCTGAGAAACATATGGGAATTTAATTATATCATCCATCAAATTTACTAATTCTTCCAAGTCCATGCCTTTGTGAGATATAACCGAGCAAAATATGCCTCATGTATTCTCTTGGTTACTCGAACAAGCTTGACCTGAACACAATGTAAACCAAATGAATGACTGAATGTGTCGGATGCTCTTTTCAGGTGAGACGTCAAAGCAACAAATGACTTACTTTATATCCCATCTTATCAACCATTTCCCGCACCACTTGATACATAGTTGGCCTAGCCTGATACACAACACAACAGTTTCTATTAGCTGAGGAAACACATAGATGAAAACTGAAAAGACAAGAAAAAAGTCTAATCAGTTATTGGTCCTAAGGCAAGGAATTAGCATACAATTTGAACATTGCGAATTGCCGCCATGAGTAATACACTAGGCATCTCCACTGCAAGAAAATGCAAATTAATATGAGAACGATCCCATAATCCCAAATAAGCTCTCCTGTGACTATACACTTTAAATTTTGAGATTCAAATATGTACATACAAACCAAAATAACGTACCCAGGAAATCCCACTCGAAAGTTTGGGGGGGGGTTAATATGTATGAAGACCTGCCCTCTACCCCAAAGAGTAGAGTGGTTGTTTCCATAAAGACCCTGGCTTGTGCAAGAGTGTAAGCAAACAGGTAGCAAGAATAAAGAATGTACATACAAACAATTATTGGAAGTAAAAGGCCAGTCCCATCTTCCATCTTCAGTACAATTGCAGGATGTGGAGCATAATCAGGCAGATGACCACCTTGAGGATTGTTATGTGCACATCTTAGATGCCTACCATCCCTCATCTTAATCATAAACCCCTCTGGGCCGCTCTTCACCTCAACTGTGTCGAAAACCAAAGTAACAAAAATGGAAGTAAGGACTCTGCAAACCAGTAAGAACCATAGTAGTTACATTTGATACCACAAAAACTAAACTTAAGATGATTATATTGCTGGTTTAATAATAGCACTTTAGTTCAACAAGAATTGCAGACATCAACATCATATGAACGCATACACTACAATTTTGGAAACATTCCTTATCAGCAATTCATAACATTACAACATCGTGCAACTTGAAGGTAATTCTACAATCTATCGAGACATTAAGATTTTGTTTCCACGCCAACTATGAACTTAAAGCATGTAACTTGATCCAAGAGAAGTTGGCACAGATATTTGTAGATATTTTGAATTTAAAGCTAATCTGCACTCATATTTATGAGTGTTTTCTTTAATCATGAGTGTTGCATGGAAACAGGACAATTTTATCCGACTTCTGCTGTTTATTTTTAGGTAACAAGGGACAACAATCGACTAAAATAATACACAAACTTGAAAACAACATAGACGGTATGTTCTTACTTAAATCATCTTACCAGCTTCAACTACACTGGAATTGACATAATCCGAGTCATTCTCATTAAAACTCTCCGCCATGCTACCATTGCCATTTGAAGATGAACTAAAAGTACATGTAACGGTCTGCGACCTTGGTTGATCACGGATATGAACCCGATGGCTGTAAACACCTCTAAATCCCCACATCCCACTTCTGAGAATTTTAGTCTTATTTAAAGACCCATTAACTGCAGGAACTGCATGAAATTCTCCTTGCTTCCTATGGACAGAAGGGCACACAACTGGACCTTGAAGAGAACTCATCATGCCTGTTACCAAAAGACAAAATGCTTCTAATCATTCACTATATCAAACCAAGAAAAGTCGACAAATCTTCACATATGAATTACATATAAAAACATAGATCGTTTTTATATAATATTTTCCATTTCTTGTCTCAATTCAAAAGGGCACAAAATTCTAACACGATATAATCACAACCAAGAATCAAAGTACTACAGAATATACATTTATTTTGTTTGATCACATGCCATCATAGACTCATAGTACATTACTAATAAAAGTGATGTATCAACAAGTCACATAATAAATAACTCTGATGCAACATCTCATAGTTCACAACCTCCTAGTAAATTATGGCAGTTATTTTAACTATTAAGAATCCATTTTTCGGTATAACAATACCAAGTCCTTTTTCCCTCTACTTTTCTGGAAGAGGAGCGTAAACATATTTAACTTCTTCCGGATTATCATGTGGATGATTAAATTGCTATCAATAATCTATGATCAGAACGATTAATACAATCGGTCACAAGGAAACAGCTAAAGAAATGTTTGGATGTATGAATTCCATGCTCTAAAAACGGAATCGAAGCTAATTTACTTTAATTCCAATCCCTCTCCATCAATCTAAAGTTCCCAAGCATATCCTAAAACCGAAAGAATCAGAACATACGAATACATTTCCAGAGAACAAACGAAACGTCTCAAACCTCATGTTTGCTTTGAATTCAAAGCAAGTATATACGACCAGAAGATCATTCCACCTTAATAGCAATTTTCAGATAGGACCTCGGAATTTAAACTCTTACAAATAATCAGCATAAATCTATTCAAATCGAGATCATCATCATCGTTGATGCATGTAAAAATCAAGAAGCCGGTATCAATTAATTAACAAAATTCACAACATAACCAAAAACAAGGCCTGACCTCAACAGTATGATTTAAAAAAATCGGAAGAAAACTTTCGGTCACCGATCGAAGCTAGTAGTTATTATACTTCCAATCGAAAAGGTCTCCTATCCAGAAATCAAACAGATCAAAGTGATTGCACATCAAGTAGCCATGGATTAGATGTCTGAGAATCACAAAAAACGATAGTTGCAGGTATATTTGGAAGAGTGAGAAAGGGTCGAGCAGAAGAAGAAGCGAGATTCCTTTCTTTAATGGCGATCGAGGGGAGAGAGAAGAAAGCGTTGATGGATATTTAAGGAAGAGTATGACTTTTAAGGTGTCCCCTGTGAATTATTTGGGTTAAAAAGACGAAAATGTCATCATCAAGTGAAAGTTACATTTTAAGTCCTCTAAATACCATTGATATCCTATAATGACCCCTTCTATATTTCCTAATCTCTACAAAATATATGAATTTAACCTAAGTGTTAGGTACACGTAATTTTTACATTTGGTTACTTTAGAAAACTTAATAAAAAAGAATATGTTAGATATGTGCATACCCAATTGACCATACAGGTCTACCACTGTAGACATTATCAATGTTTTAATATGAATCAGATATTCATGTTCATGTACTATTTAGATATAAATCTTTTCATGTTCACATGTTAGACAATCAGTTGTTTAATGAGCACATGCTTTTGTTATATTAGGTCTTTTGTATCTCAAAATAAAGTAACTCTATACCAACATAGTCATTAATGCAAACATGTTGTGCAGCGATCGTGACTAAATAGATTAACAAAATACTGTTTGGTCATGATTTCATTAAGATATGTCAAGTATCTTGTTGCATGCCCTTGCTTTTGGGATGGTTGAGAAGGTCAAAAGCCCCTATCATATATTTACGTTATGTGTGGTGTGCTGTCTTTGTATTGAAAAACTTTCAATGACCATTCATCCCACTAAGTCAAGTTTGACCAGCCTTATAGCATCAGAAGGAAGTTCCATGCCGAGAAATCCCTCTTAAATTTGTTTCCTAAGTAAGGCATGATTGACCAGAATAGTGACGGTGTTCTTTTACAGGGTATGTCCCCACAAAACCAAAGAGGGGTGAGAAGGTAGACATGATTTGATTTGTTGTTCCCCTTTAGTTTCGTAACCATCAATCCTCGAGGTGATCAAAAATTTTAAAAGTGTCGATCTTTCTTGGATGGTCATCACCCCCAATCATAACGACATTTGATTGGTGTACATATGGAAAATTATCTATTCTTGTTTAACGGTTTATTAAATTGTTGGAAAATCATATTTTGGTTTCGTTGTAGCACCAAATTATGACATGTCTTCATATTGCATGTCTACAGTATCTTGAATTGGACCTGTAATCGAATAAACGCAAACACAGTGTATGAATTATCTGCCTCTTGCAAGAGGATCAATCAACAATGAAAGTACAATGCTTGGTAAGAGGGTTTGAAATCAACGACTCTTACATTAACGTATGTATTAATTTGGGTGTGAGAAAGTTAAAATCCTAAATAGAAGTCTCTAGTCTTCCTAGGTATACCGGTGTACAACCTTGAATAACTGAAACTTTAACTTTTTCTTAAAAAAACAGAATACTTCCAAACAAAAAAAAAGTCAAAATCTTGAGATGCCCGGTTTTGTAACATTTATATTTCCTTTTCTGATTTTAAAATATAAGATATTAAACTTGGATGACCAAATTAATAATGAAATAAAGGCTGCTAATTTTCTTACCATAAATTAAAAACATAAAGTACCAAAAAAACCATCTACCATTTTGAAGGGGCCTCAATGCAATATCAAGATACTTTAGGGGTGAAACAAGAATTTTCAATTCACCAATAGATAGGGACGTGGTGATCGGAGGGTATTTTCGACCATCTACGGTTAAAAAAAAGGGTATTAATCTAAATATGAAAAGTAATATGTTCTTTTATCAGTTTAATATAAAAATTAAAATTAATTTATAATTTTTTTTTTATTTTTTCGACGATTTTATTTCCATTACGTTTTAAAAAGTAAAAAACGACGCAGGATGTCTGCAATTCTGTAGCCGGCGGTTCGGCGATTAAACTAACTGCGTAAGTGGTGGACACGTGTTTCGAATTTGCGGCGTCAGGACAATCTGGATAAGGTTCAACATCAAACTGGGTAATTATCCACTATGAGTGCGAGCTATGTATTTTTCTTCTTGGATAAATTACGATTTCCGTCCTCGTGGATTATCATTTATTGCTATTTGTACCCCTGTTCTTTAAAAATTGCTTAATTTAGTCATTATGGTTTCCAATTCGTTTCTTTTTCATCCCTGAAGATAAGGGGTTGTTTGACAATTGCTGAATGATTCGATGTAGAATGATTAAGTGGTCAGAATGATTAAGAAGCTCTCATGATACAGTGCAAAATGAAATATAATTGTTTAGTAATTATGTACAATGAAATTAGGGCTCTTAAAGGGAAATCCATGATACAAAAGCATTCATAGGGTCTTAGAACCATTAAGAGACAATTTTTTTTTTGCTAAACAAAATTTACCTCTTAACGATTCAGAGGTTGCCTCTTAATGAAACTATTAAGAGGTAAACAAACAATCCCTTAGAGGCTTTTCTTTTTCCCTTTGGATGGTGAGTTGAGTTTCATCATTTTCCATCTTTAATCTGAAAATAAGTTTTAATTATTCATCAAATTTCTTGATCTCAAACCAAAAAACTGCTCCAAAAATAGATAATCTGATATAATTTTCCCACCCATTACACTTCTCACGGAAATTGATCAGGTACATCTCGATGCATCTTATTAGTGTTGATTTTAAATTAGGATTAATATATTATTAAATAAAACTGTAAAAAGACGAAATACTCAGATTTAACGGTTGATACTTAATGGAGTTAGTTTGAGGGATATAAACGAAATGAATTAGAAACCACAGTGAGAAAAAAAAAAAGCAATTTTTGAAAAATCAAGAACACAAATGATAATAAATAACAAACCACATGAACCAAAATCATAATTTACTCGTTTTTTTCTCTTTTTCCTTCCGGTGGGCCACTAATCTACAAGTTGCCATATTAGATTCGAACGCATAGCCTTCTAAAGATACTTATTTAGAGCATCTAATTACAGATGAAAGAGTACAAATTGAGTGGTCGGTTTGAAGGCATATAACAATCCAATTTAATATTCACAGTTTGAAAACTTTCAATCCAACCCAACTTTAACTTGGATATCCAACCCGTTATGTGGTTCGACTAATTTTAGGGAGACCACCTGCTTTGCGGGTAGCCCAAAGTCACCGCATTTGAACCTCCGTGGTCACAAGGGGATTTTTATTCCTTCTTGGATTTGAACTTGAGACTTCCAAACACTTTGACCTTTGGAGCCCGAGCTCAAACCAATCAAACACTATCCTTGTGGTTAAAAAAACCATCTTTTATATATGAAATATTGTTTATTGATTCATATTATTTAAAATTCAATATTACAAGTAAATTGTATGTAAGTACAAATTATTAAGCTCCATGTTTGAATTCGTATAACTAACTGTAGATAAATATAATCAAATACAAGATAAAATTCTTATTTTAAATATAATATCTAAAATATAATTATGATAATATTGAGTTATAACAGAATACTTAGTTTTATCTTTATAAAAATTATTTATGAAAACAAAAATAAATTACTTCGTCATTAACCCTAAATTAAATTATACTAAAAAATTGAATCAAAGAAATTACACAAAAAACAAGAATTTTTATATTTTTTTGATATATTCAAATTTATATTTTATTGAGAAAAACAATATTACTTGCTCAAAACCACATAAATTCGTAATATAACATCGATAAAGACCAAAAAATCAAAACAAAACATTGAAATCGAAATATATCTCGCTGCATTGCGTGAATACCTTCTAGTTGGACATTATTGATATGACAAAATCACTATGATGTTATTTTTCAATTAAAAATGAAAGATTAATTATAATCATCAGATAAAACTGATTTAAAGATTGGTATGAGTTCTCACATGTCAAAGTCTTTTAATTTCTCATTTGGTTATATCTTTTATTTTTATATTAATAATTATTTTATATTAATAATTAATATGAAATAGAAAGTAGATAATGGTTTGGAGTAGGAGGTTTTGTTGCTTCATTGTAAAGTTATATGTACATTAAATTTAGTAGAAAATAGAAGAATGAGGTTGTTTGATTCCAAAGTTGCTTTATCTGTTAATGGAAACACTTTAAATAGCACATGTTCACTCACTTATTGTTAAAATTGTAAAATATTAAAAGCTACATAGATTAAATAAAGATACAGAACATTATCTTTATAAAAATTATATTGTTAAGTCAAAAATAAATTAATTTACTATTATACCTAAATGAAATTATAATAAAAAATTACATTAAAGAAATTAATTTGATATATTTTTTTCAAAAATTTGTGATATTTTCAATTTTTTTTTCGAAAATACAAAATTATTGTTTTCAAAATCATGCAAATCATATTATATCAACAGAGACAAAAAATAAAATGAATATGTATCTCCTTGCATTACGCGATTACCTTCTACTATATCTATACTAGCTTATAAAGCATTTGACTAAAACTCTTAAAAACTCTTAAAACTCTTAAAAACTCTTAAACATGTTCATCCCTATCCGATTTCATCTCATATCTGAAATCGTGTAACTAACTGCAGATAAACACAAT